TTCCCACTTTGATAACCGAAAATGACTTGACACTTTGATAAACGCAAGGAGTGTGAAACAGCGATGCCCAAACGTCAACTGTCACAGCCGCCTATAGTTTTAAGTGATTTATCTGAAATCGAGTCACAAAACGCCACATATTTATAAAAAAAAAATGGTCGATATTTATTTCGACAGAACTTCCCTCGTCCCTGAAGAACAGTCCAACAAATCCTCCTTTTTTAAAAATTATAAAATTAGATTTTGTGAAATCTTTTTTTGTGATAACCTCTATGAAGTAAAAACAATATCGAAAGTACTAGTCAGTTAGAATCCCCAAGAAGGTTTCACATTCTTTAAAAAAATACAGTTGGAGGCCCCGAGAACATTTCATATTCTTTTAAAACACAGTTGGGGCCCTTGAGAAGGTTTTACCTTCTTAAAAAAAAGGCGGTTAGGACCCCCGAGAAGGTTTTACGTTCTTAAAAAAAGACAGTTGGGGCTGCCGAGAACGTTTCAGCTTCTTTAAAAAGAAAGATAGTTGGGGTCCTTGAGAAGGTTCATCCTCTTTAAATAAAAGACAGATGGGGCTCCCGAGAATGTTCCAGCTTCTGAAAAAAAAACAGTTGGGGCCCCCGAGAAGGCTTCAGTTCTTAAAAAAGAAACAGTTGGGGCTCCCTAGAAGGTTTAATATTCTTAAAAAAACAGTTCAAGCCCCCGAAAAAGTTTCAGATCCTCAAAAAGGACAGTTGGGGTCTTCGCAAGGCTTCACCCTCTTAAAAAAAGACACTCAGAACCCCCGAGAACATTTCACCTTCTAAAAAAAAAAAACAGTTTGGGCCCCCGAGAAGGTTTCAATTTCTTAAAAAAAAAGACAGTTAGGGCCCTGGAAAAGGTTTCAGCTTCTTTAAAAGAAAGGACAGTTGGGGTTTTTAAGAAGGTTTCACCTCCTTTAAAAAAAGACAGTCGGGACCCCTGAGAAGGTTTCATCTTCTTAAAAAGAGATAGTTAGGATTCTCGAGAAGGTTAGACCTTCTTAAAAAAACGACAGTTCGGACCCCCGAGAAGGTTTGACCTTCTAAAAAAAAATCAGTTATGGCCGCCGAGAAGGTTTCAGCTTCTTTAAAAGAAAAGACAGTTGGGGCCCCCGAGAAGGTTTCAGGTTCTTTAAAAAAAGACAGTTGGGACCCCCAAGAAGGTTTCACCTTCTAAAAAAAAAAAACAGTTATGGCCTCCGAGAAAGTTTCAGCTTCTTTAAAAGAAAAGACATGTGGGGTCCTCGAGAAGGTTTCTGCTTCTTTAACAGAAAGGACAGTTAGGGCTTTTGAGAAGGTTTCACCCTCTTTAAAAAAAGACAATCTGGACCCCGGAGAAGATTTCACCTTCTAAAACAAACGGTTGATGCCCATGAGAAAGTATCACATTTTTAACAAAACCTGTTGGGACCCCCGAGAAGGTTTCATATTCTTAAAATGAGATAGTTGGGATCCTCGAGACAGTTTTACCTTCTTAAAAAAAAGACAGTTAGGACCTCCGAGAAGGTTTCAGCTTCTAAAAAAATACAGTTATGGTCCCCGAGAAGGTTTCAGTTTTTTCAAAAGAAAAGACAGTTGGGGCGCTCGAGAAGATTTCAGCTTCTTTTAAAGAAAGGACAGTTGGGGTTTTTGAGAAAGTTCCACCCTCTTTAAAAAAGACAGTCTGGACCCCCGAGAAGATTTCACCTTCTAAAACAAACAGTTGATGCCCTTGAGAAAGTATCACATTTTTAACAAAAACTGTTGGGACCCCCGAGAAGGTTTCATATTCTTAAAATGAGATAGTTGGGACCCTCGAGAAAATTTCACCTTCTTAAAAAAAGACAGTTGGGACCCCCGAGAAGCTTTCACCTTCTAAAAAAAATACAGTTATGGCCCTGGAGAAGGTTTCAGCTTTTTCAAAATAAAAGACAGTTGGGGTCCTCGAGAAGGTTTCAGCTTCTTTAAAAAAAGACAGTTTCGGGAAGGTTTGACACTTTAAAAGACAGTTAGGGCCACCGAGAAGGTTTCACCTTCTTTAAAAGAAAAGACAGTTGGGGCCCCCGAGAAGGTTTCAGGTTCTTTAAAAAAAAGACAGTTGGGACCCCCGAGAGGGTTTCATATTCCTAGGTGTGACCTTCTTTAAAAAAAGACAGTTGGGGTCTCTTAACAATAGCTGTTGGGACCCCCGAGAAGGTTCCATAGTTTCATATTCTTAAAAAGAGACATTTGGGACCCTCGAGAAAGTTTCACTTTAAAAAAAAAAAAGACGGTTGATCTCTCCGAGGAGGATTCACATTCTTAAAGAGAAAAGTAGTTGCGGCCGTCGGGAAGGTTTCAGCTTCTTGAAAAGGAAAGACAGTTGGGGCCCTCGAGAAGGTTTCACCCTCTTTAAAAAAAATACAGTTGGGACCCTCGAGAAGGTTTTGCTCTCTCAAAAAACAGTTAGACCCCTCGAGAAAGTTTTAGCTTCTTTAAAAGAAAAGACAGTTGGGGCCTTCAGTTTCAGGTTCGTAAAAAAAAAGACATTTGGGACCCCCAAGAAGGTTTCACCTTCAAAAAAAACACTAGGGGCCCCCGAGAAGGCGTCACCTTCTTTAAAAAAAATATAGTTCATACTCCCGAAAAGGTCTATTATTAAAAATAAAACATTTGATGTCCTTGAGAAGATTTCACATTGTTAATAAAAACAGTTGAGACCCTCGAAAAGGTTCCATATTAAAAAAAAAACGTTGGGGCCCTCAACAACGTTTCAACCTTCATTAACAAAAAGATAGTTCGAACTTCCGAGAAGGTTTAATGTTCTTAAAAAGAAAAAGTTTCAAATCTTTAAAAAATTGGTCGAAAGTTATGTCGACAGAACTTCCTTCGTCTTTGAGTACAAGTCCACTTTTTCGAAAATCATTGGATTTTGGGAATTTAATTTTTTTATGATAACTCTTCTAAGTTAAAATAAAGATATGTAGAGACGTGATCTGCTCTTGTTTCAAATGAGTTTTTCCAATACAAAATTTTGTGATAACGTCATCAAGATTTTTGCAAAAACTTTCTCTCAGTTTGCACAGATGCAGTCTAATATTAATAACAGCAGTACTATATTGCCAAATTTTTGAGGAAAATGGAGTGAGTGGTTCTTAACTTAATCAATACCATAAATTGCGTCAGTCATTCATTTTTTGAGTGCTCCTGTATAAACAATTCTAAATAAAGTCAGAATATTGTGCAGATTTAAAATAGATTTTATTTGGAAAAATTTGGGATGAACCATCAATTTTTCAGGAGGGGATAAATGAATAAATTTTGATCAACGATTTACCAGGACTATGATAACCTTCAAACGGTTGCAAGATTTCAGAGCATTCGGTTTTCCATTTTCAAAGTTAAATTGCAAAATATTTTAATTTTTTTACCCAAAGATCTGGATATCTAAGGTAAAACGCAGCACGGAGTCATACATCGCAAATAAAAAAAATACAATTGCAAATTTTGGAATAACGTCATCTGATTGGTCACAAACCACAGCCAGACGGAAAAAGGGGACCACTTTTTTCGTATTCTAGGTGTGTTCAAACGTCGAGAAAAAATGCAAGTGGCAAGTCGCCCGATGGACTCGATTACTGTACTTCCTTAGCTTAGGCTCAGGAAGTCATTCATATGTATATCTGTAATATCCTTGGTCGGAAATTATAATGACACGAATATAGAAAAGCACAACCTCAGTAAGCAAAATTTTTTTCGTATGGGTCTCACAATTGTTGCTATCCTCTCTCCATCTGGTCGAGTGATCCCCTGCAGCCGCCCTCCGCATGTCTTACTTTCACATGATTGTTTTGTCTATGAGTTTGTTTACATATAGGTACTGTTTCACTGCGAGGTACGAAGTCACGGATAAACAAATGAATGGATATGATTTTATTTTGGAGATTGTTCTGGAGATTTTTTGTGCATTCATTGATGTATCACCAGTACTTTAGTTTTGTCTATGACATCCATTGCAGTGATTGATATATCATGCTAATAACGATGGAAAACTATGAACTGTTATAAAGCACAAGGAAAAGTACAGTGTGATAAATAATAACAGTATCTATTGTATTCTCACACTGTGGAAAAAATCGGGGTCTGTTTTGTTTTGATGCGGGACTTCCACTGGGAAGGCAAGTCTTATACCTATAACGCTTAGTTTACGGAGTAGTGTACAATGTGACAGAAGAGGAGGAAACTTAAATAAATTGACTGATCCATTTTTTTTAATCTTCCTGTATATAAGCAAATCTAAAAACCATGAATGCAGTGATAAATTACAAGTATAGTCTGAACACATTTTACACATTTTCGAAAGGAGTTATTCGGCAAAATTTTGAGACTACGTATTCAATTTTTTGGGGTTGATAAACAGATACATTTTGATTAAAACGTTACCATACTTACAATGACTTCAAAACGTCTGCAAAATTTCAAAGTATTTATTTTTGCAATTCTTGATTTTTTAATCAATAAAATAAATTGAATTGAAAATTTTTGCAAAATAATTGTGATAAAAATCAGGGTACACTCATAAACCACAAATATAGGAGTATGTTATGTTATGTTATAAAGTGTAAGTATGAGTTACTACGAAAAAAAAAGGGTAATTTATTTTATTGATTAAATCAAAAACCACTCACTCCATTTTCTCTAAATTTTGGGAATACAGTACTGTTATTATTAGTATTACACTGTATCGCAACCCACGAAACAAAAAAAAATTAAAGCCAATAACAACTCCATCAACTCCCGACTCCATATCACACCACGCACGAACCTCCCCCTTCCCTTCCCCCAAAATATTAATTCCAAATCCCGCTCCTTCCACCCCCAAGCCTACTTTAACGCGCCATTTCTCCTTAATTCCGCCCGGCAAAGCCAGCTTTCACTTCCCGATAAAGCGACAGAATCAAGTGGCCTCAAAGCGCCACCGATAAAAGGTGCGAACTTCTTAGACACGTTTATTTCCGGGTAAAGCTCGCCCGTAAGCTCGCATAGAAATGTAAAGCTGTCAGCTGCACGGACGGTAATATCGCTGGAACTCGTATCCGGACGCATTGTGAAACACTATGGGATTGACGGCGTTTCAGATTGAAAGTTTCATAGTGAAGGGGGAAAAAACTCGCAACGGCATATGGGAATGTCACCTAACTTTCGTGTTGACAAATACAATTTTAGTGCGACGCGTTAACAGGCCGTCGGACCGCTAAACGGGCTTGTCAAAGATATCCAGGATTAACAGTATCATGCGCTCCTGGAAGTCCAGCTCGACGTCGAACCACTTGAGGAGCTTCGTCTTCTTCATGACCTTCAGCCAGTGCTTGCGGGTCTCGCGAGGCGCCAGACGCAGTTTCTTGCGGAGGACGTTCTCTTTCAGGCGGAGGTTGTGGGTGTCCACGGCTTTGTACATGGATCTTTCGCAGCGGGGGTGTATCTGAAAAATAAATTGATATTGATGAATTTTCAGGATTGCGTCTTTGAATTTTACTCCCTGAGTGTATGCTCAGGATAGCTATATGTAACAGGATAAAATTTACATTAGTAAACATTATTTCAATTATATGAAGTAAGATACTCCTTCACTTGTGGTTTATGAATCCGTGTTCAGTGTTTATCCTAAACATCCAATTTTTTTGAAAAAAATTCAGAATTGTATAATAACCTGCATGGTAGATCGTTAATAATTTTTTTTCCGTTTATGTTCTCCTAAAAAATGATGACCAAATTTTGCCTAATTTCATAAATTTGACATGTGTGGTTTAAGAATCCGTATTGAATATTAACCCAGACATCCAGATTTCTGTACAAGAGTTCAAAATTTTATTTTACAATTCAACTTTGAAAATGCAAAACTCAAGGTTCTGAAATCTTGCAAACGTTTTATGGTTATAAAAAAATAAATATTTAATCAAAATCTATTCGTTTATGGCCTGCAGCAAAATTCGAGATGTCATCTTACAATTCTGGAAAATAAATTTTGTAAAATAGCATGCTCCTGCATGTATGATTGGCATTCAGAATTTTTGGGAAAAGTGTCAAAATTTTTTAACAATATCTTATAATTTAAATTTAAAATTGCAAAAATCGAATGTTGTGATATCTTGCAAATGTCTTAAGGTAATTGAAAGTAAAGTAATCGTTAATTAAAATTTGTCCGTTATCTTACAATTTTGACGAATAAATGTTCTTCAAATTTATGAGTGTTTTTGGAAAAAAAGCTGAGAGTGGATTCCCTTTAATGGTTGATGCTTGTAATCTGAACGTGCTAATAGTCTAACTTTTTCGTACCGAGAAAGTGAGAGTATCTACTTTTTTCCCACTGCTTATCTAATTTAAAAATATTTCATATTGTCGACAGTTGTGCGGACCGCGGGGTGTTAATTACACCACTAGTTTTTACTTTATAGAAGTTATCACAAAACGGAAATCGCAATATCAAATTTTATATTTTAAAGAAACTGGATGTGTCGGACTACTACTTCAAGGGCAAAGAAATTTCTGTTGAAATTTTTGTAACCAACTGTCTTTTTTAAAGAAGGTGAAACCATCTCGAAGGCCCCAACTGATTTTTTAAAATGTGAAACCTTCTCAGGGGCTCTCTCTAACTGTGCTTTTTTTAAGAATATGAAACCTTCTCGGGGACCCCAACTGTTTTTTAATAATGTAAAACATTCTCAGGAGCTCCACTGTCTTTTTTAAAGAAGGTGAAACCTTCTCGGGAGCCCCAACTATCTTTTTTAAGATAATAAAACCTTCTCGGGGGTCCCAACTGTGTTTTTTAAGAAGGTGAACTATAATCGGGGGTCCCAACCGTCTTTTTTTTAAGAAGCTAAAATTTTCTCAAAAATCCCAACTGTCTTTTTTTAACAAGATGAAACCTACTCGGGGGCCCAAATGTCTTTTTTTTAAGAAGCTAAAACCTTCTCAGGGGCCCCAACTGTCTATTTTTAACAAGATGAAACCTTCTCGAGGAGCCCAAATGTTTTTCTATAAAGAAGCTGAAACCTTCTGAGGGGACCAAACGATCTCTTTTTTAAGGAGGTGAAACCTTCTCGGGAGTTGCAACTGTCTTTTTTTAAAGAAAGTGAAACCTTCTCGGTTGACCAAACTCTGTCTTTTTTAAGGAGGTGCAATCTTCTCGGGGTCCCAACTGTCTTTTTTTAAGAAGCTGAAACCTTCCCGGATGACCCAACGGTCTCATTTTTAAGGAGGTGAAACCTTCTCGGGAGTCCCAACTGTCTTTTTTTAAAGAAAGTGAAACCTTCTCGGGGGCCTCAACTGTCTTTTTTTTTAAGAAGCTGAAACCTTCTCACGAAACCAAACGGTGTCATTTTTAAGGAGGTATAACCTTCTCGGGAGTCCCAAATGTCTTTTTTTCCAGAAACTGAAACCTTCTCATGGATCCCAACTGTTTTTTTAACAAGATGAAACCTTCTGGGGGTCCCAACTGTCTCTTTTCTTAATAGAGACAGTTGGTCTCTTTTTTAAGGAGGTGAAACCTTCTGTCTTTTTTAACAAGATGAAACCTTCTCAAGGGGCCCAAATGTCTTTCTCTAAAGAAGCTGAAACCTTCTGAGGGGATCAAACGATCTCATTTTTAAGAAGGTGAAACCTTCCCGGAGGACACAACTGTCTCTTTTTTTAATAGGGTGAAACCTCGGGGGAGCCAACTTTCTCTTTTTTAAGGAGGTGAAACCTTCTCAGGGCACCACCCAACTTTCTCTTTTTTAAGGAGGTGAAACCTTCTCGGGGTCGCAACTGTCTTTTTTTTAAGAAGCCGAAACCTTCCTGGAAGACACAACGGTCTCTTTTTTAAGGAGGTGAAACCTTCCCGGGAGTCCAAACTGTCTTTTTTTAAAGAAAGTTAATCCTTCTGGAAGTCCCAACTGTCTATTTTCTTAATAAGGTGAAACCTTCTCGGGGGCCCTAAATGTATTTTTTTTTAAGAAGCTGAAACCTTCTCCGGGAAACAAAGAGTCTCTTTTTAAGAAGGTGAAACCTTCTCTGGAGTCCCAACTGCCTTTTTTCCAAAAACTGAAACCTTCTCATGGATCCCAACTGTTTTTAACTAGATGAAACCTTCTGAGGGTCCCAACCATTTCTTTTCTTATTGGGATGAAACCTTCTGTCTTTTTTAACAACGTGAAACCTTCTCGAGGGGACCAACTGTCTTTCTTTAAAGAAGCTGAAGTCTTCTCATGGGACCAAACGACCTCTTTTTTAAGGAGGTGAAACCTTTCGGGAGTCCCAACTATTTTTTTTTCCAGAAGCTGAAACTTTCTCAAGAATCCCAACTGTCTTTCTTTAACAAGATAAAACCCACTTGTCTTTTTTTTAAGAAGCTGAAACCTTCTCAGGGGCCCCAACTGTCTTTTTTTAACAAAATGAAACCTTCGCGAGGGGCCAACTGTCTTTCTTTAAAGAAGCTGAAACTTTCTTAGGGATTCAAACGATCTCATTTTTAAGGAAGTGAAAACTTCCCGGAGGACACAACTGTCTCTTTTTTTAATAGGGTGAAACCTTCTCGGGGGACCCAACTCTCTCTTTTTTAAGGAGGTGAAACCTTCTCAGGAGTTACAACTGTCTTTTCTTAAAGAAAATGAAACCTTCTCGCAAAACCCAACTTTCTTTTTTTTAAGGAGGTGAAACCTTCTCGGGAGTGCCAACTGTCTATTTTAAAGAAAGTGAAACCTTTTGGTGGTCCCAACTGTCTCTTTTTTTAATAGGCCGAAACCTTCTCGGGGGCCCCAACTGTCTTTTTTTAAGAAGCTGAAACATTCTCAGGGAACCAAACGGTCTCATTTTTAAGGAGGTGAAACCTTCTCGGGAGTCCCAAATGTCTTTTTTTATTAAGCTGAAACCTTCCCGGAAGACCCAACAGTCTCTTTTTTAAGGAGGTGAAACCTTATCGGGAGTCCCATCTGTCTTTTTTTAAAGAAAGTTAAACCTTCTGGGGTCCCAACTGTCTATTTGCTTAATAAGGTGAAACCTTCTCGGGGGCCCCATATGTATTTTTTTTTAAGAAGCTCGAACCTTCCCGAAAGACCCAACGGTCTCTTTTTTAAGGAGGTGAAATCTTCTCGGAAGTCTCAACTGTCTTTTTTAAAGAAAGTGAAACCTTTTGGGGGTCCCAACTGTCTCTTTTTTTAATACGGGTGAAACCTTCTCGGGGGCCCCAACTGTCTTTTTTTTAAAGCTGAAACCTTCCCGGAGGACCCAACAGTCTCTTTTTTAAGGAGGTGAAATCTTCTCGGGAGTCCCAACTGTCTTTTTTTAAAGAAAGTGAAACCTTTTGGGGGTCCCAACTGTCTCTTTTTTTAATAGGGTGAAACCTTCTCGGGGGCCCCAACTGTCTTTTTTTTAAGAAGCTGAAACCTTCTCAGGGAACCAAACGGTCTCATTTTTAAGGAGGTGAAACCTTCTCGGAAGTCCCAAATGTCTTTTTTTCCAGAAACTGAAACCTTCTCATGGACTCCAACTGTTTTTTTAACAAGATGAAACCTTCTGGGAGTCCCAACTGTCTGTTTTCTTAATAGAGTGAAACCTTCTGTCTCTTTTAACAAGATGAAACCTTCTCGAGGGGCCCAACTGTCTTTCTTTAAAGAAGCTGAAACCTTCTCAGGGGACCAAACGACCTCTTTTTGAAGGAGGTGAAACCTTCTCTGGAGTCCCAACTGTCTTTTTTTCCAAAAACTGAAACCTTCTCATGGATCCCAACTGTTTTTTTAACAAGATGAAACCCTTTGGGGGTCCCAACCATCTCTTTTCATATTGGGATGAAACCTTCTGTCTTTTTTAACAACATGAAACCTTCTCGAGGGGCCCAACTGTCTTTCTTTAAAGAAGCTGAAACCTTCCTGGAAGACCCAATAGTCTCTTTTTTAAGGAGGTGAAACCTTCTCGGGAGTCCCAACTGTCTTTTTTTAAAGAAAGTTAAACCTTCTGGGGGTCCCAACTGTCTATTTTCTTAATAAGGTGAAACCTTCTCGGGGGCCCCAAATGTATTATTTTTTTAAGAAGCTGAAACCTTCTCCGGGAACCAAAGGGTCTCTTTTTTAACAAGATGAAACCTCCTGGGGGTCCCAACCATATCTTTTCTTATTGGGATGAAACCTTCTGTCTTTTTTTAACAACATGAAACCTTCTCGAGGGGCCCAACTGTCTTTCTTTAAAGAAGCTGAAACCTTCTCAGGGGACCAAACGACCTCTTTTTGAAGGAGGTGAAACCTTCTCTGGAGTCCCAACTGTCTTTTTTCCCAAACACTGAAACCTTCTCATGGATCCCAACTGTTTCTTAACAAGATGAAACCCTTTGGGGGTCCCAACCGTCTCTTTTCATATTGGAATGAAACCTTCTGCCTTTTTTAACAACATGAAACCTTCTCGAGGGGCCCAACTGTCTTTCTTTAAAGAAGCTGAAACCTTCCTGGAAGA